GATGCTCCCCCATTCCGAACATTTTCCGCCCTCCGGGGTAGGTCCTGGCTAAATATCTCGAGTCTCGTGCCATGGGTCGCTCTTGAAAGAGGGGATGTGGCCTTAAAAAATGCTAAATTTAAGGCTAAACCCCTAGAAAAGCCCAGGTCTGCCCCGCAGACGAGCTGCATCCCGCGTCTCCTGCTTGCAGCCAGCCCTCGGTCCCTCGGCAGGGCCCTTCCCGAGGCTGAAATGCTGCCGGCATCCTCCTCTCCTTGCCCCTCTTATGGACCCTCAAAGCCAGGCTCTCCCTTCTTTTCTCCCATTTGCCCTGATTTCAGAGCTGGCTTGTGCCTAATTGGGTGCTTTGCTAATTAAAGCTGATTTTTGCTTTCCTGGTGGAGGGGCAGTACCACTTGCCCAGTGATGCTCTGCTCGGGGGACGACGCTTTCCACCCAAGCCGTGGCACATCCAGCATCTTCTTTCCGCATCCTCCCCCTGCCCGTGGCACCTGGTCCCCAAACACACCCCATCCCACCTCGAAAAGAGGGGATTTGGGGTCCTTGGTGGCTCCCGCGCCGTCTCCACGGGTCACCCGAGGGCTCCCCAGGGGTGGACGCCCAGGCTGGAAGCACATTAAAGGGGGGGGCGGGGGGGGGAGGAAAATAGCTGAACAGTGATAACGATGCGTTCGGGGGGTACAAAGGCACCCACTGTCCTCCGGACAATCCCTCGTGTGTTTGCATGGGGCAAAGCGGGATAAAATCTGGGAGCGGGATGCCGGGCTCGCTGCGGGACGTGGGCTCTGCCCCCGGCCATGCTGCACCCGGGCTAAAACCTGGTTTCCCCCCGAACACGCTTCTTTTGTTTAGCAAAACCAGCAGAGGAACAATATTTAGCTTTCTGGGCGTTCCTGTCGCTTGCACCCAAAACCCGGCGAAAAAAAATTCATTATTAAATAGGCAGAAATAAGGGAAAAGGGAAAACGACGCCAAGATGGCAGCAAATCGCACCAAATCGCCACGGCGCTGAAATTCTGTGCGAATAATAGCGCAGAAAATTTAAAAAATCACCTTTTCTGTTAAAAACAAAGAACTAAAATAAATCCGCTTCGGTGCCCCGTGTCGCATTTAGCACGAAGCTGTTCCGTGGCAGCGCTGCCCTTGGCTGGGGGCCCGCGGCCGGGCCGCACGCAGCAGGGCTGTTCTCACGCCTCAGAGCCGTGATTATTTTTATTCAATGGAGGGTTTGGTCATTTTTAGTTATTTTTTGGTCATTCTGACTCATCGGCCTGCCGCACCAGCAGCCACGGAGCCCTCGCCACCTCCCGATGATGGTCCCATCAAAGAAATCAACTTGAGTTCTGTTTTTTCCCTTCCAGCAAGTTCGTGCTGCACGACGTGTGCTCAAACACAAAGGTTTGGGTCTTCTGTCAGGACCATTTTTTTAACACATGGGTTTTACAAACCAAGCAGGACCCGAGATCTGATTTTTCACCTTCATTAACCAGGGAAATGAGCTCCATTAAGTTCCAGCTGAACCCGAGGAAGAACTTCTTCCCTCTGAGTGTGACGGAGCCCTGGCCCAGGCTGCCCAGGGAGGCTGTGGAGTCTCCTTCTCTGGACATATTCAAGAGCACCCTGGACGAGATCCTGTGCCGCATGGCCTAGGTGACCCTTCTTCGGCAGGTGGGTTGGACTAGATGACCCACAGAGGTCCCTGCCAACCCCGACCATTCTGGCATTCTGTGATTCTGTGATTCTGTGATTACTCAAGGATCACTAGAGCTGCCCCTCGCCTGCATCCCTTCAAGCCTCCGCAAGGTTTCAGCTGACAATTGACGTAGCAGATTCGTTTGATATACGATAAATTGACTGTTTAGGTGAGCAGAAAATAAAAATAAACATGTTTTACAGGGCACGCAGCTGCAGTTTTGCATTGCTTGGGGCCACACCAGAATTTTACCTCTATCACAGATATCCAAGCACCATAAATTCCTGAGCCGTAGATGTTGGAACATGAAGCTACACGAACCCTCCTGGATGTTTTCAGCACTAATTCACTGCTTCACATCCAAGCGTTGGACCCACCGTGTGCCGAAATCCCAGGAAAACGGGATAATCCGAGATAAAGCCGCAGCGGTCGCACACATCGAGCACCCGGGTGCCTCTGCGAGGCTGAAGCTCAAGGATTTGCCAAGACCCCGGTGCGCTGCCAAAACCCCCACAGCTCAGCGCTGCAGAGGATTATCTGGAGGAAAAAAAGCCACGAAACAAACCTAAAAAAACCCAAGTGCATCTCTTGGATATGACCTGTGGAAACAGGGACGTGTTTTCCATGGGTCTAGGAGATGAGGGAGCAGTGATGTCCCAGCAGCTGATCCCAGGGATGCTCAGAGGACGCCACAACACGATGCTCGGCGAGAAAGAGCGAGCAAAAGCGATGTATTTTTCCCTAATAGTGGGTGATCGAGGAACGAACCCGCAGTTTTTAGGGCAGTTCCTCGTGCCGGGCAGCTGGGGTATCACTTCCCAGGGTCACAGAGGCCTCAGGAGCGGATGGGGCGTGTTGTCTGAGCCATGACCGCTGCGGTGGTCATCACTTATTATCCACTTATGGAGGTAAAAAAACCAAAAGGTTCTGAATTATTGGCTGCATGCCTGGCCAAAGGGTTTTAATTATCCTCCCTGCATTTTAGCTTCTTTCCCCGGCCACCTCCACCTCTCTGGCTCTCTTTCACCAGTCCTGGGGACCCAGCAGGTCTTCTGCCCCTCAACCCTAGGCAGTCATTAAAAGGTCTCATTAAAAAATGTGGGATGTTCGCCCGGGACACAGAGTTCCCCACCTGGGGAGTGTTCCCAGTTGGTTCCCACAGGTTTCCCCACGTGATATTTTTTTGGGGAGGCTCCATTGCCAACCTATCACGGTTCTAGCCGCAGGGATGTCCATCACGCTGTGGAGCACAAGGCCCATCTGACATGCCCTGGAAAAACCTTAAATAGCCCAGCACAGGCTCCGGCAGGCGCTGCATTTCCCCGACTCCAGCAGGTGGATCAGGATCGAATCCCATCCGCACTTCAAAGCTTCCAAGACCCACGTCCCCAGCTGGAGTCATCAGTGACAAAGAGCTTTTGCCATCGTCCCACCCCAGCAAGGATGAGCCTGCGGTGAAGGTAACACTCCGCCCCGAGACCCTTTTTGTTGCTAACAAGGTTCAGAGCTGGTTCTTGCTGGGGTTAGGGATTTCTTCTTTTCTTTTTTTTCTTTCCTTGCTCATCCGACTCAAATGACTGAACAGATTTTCTTCAAAGGCTCCAAAACAGCCAGGGTCTAGTGGTAAAAAATCAACTTGTGGAGAGTCGGCTCAGAAGGGAGCCTGGGAAATTAAAAAAAAGTTGTAAACTGGGGTCTAAGCGGCTGCTTGTCAATACGATACGCTCAGAGTGAAGCTGATGGAAATGCCCAGAGACGGGGTGAGCAGCACGTCTGCTCCCAGCGACGGCCCAGGAGGGGACGTGGTGGGAGATCTTGCACAGAAGGTGTGGGAACCGTGACCCTCCTTCCCACCTCTGTCCCGCGGTGAAGCCGTGCCGGGGTGGGCAGGACCCGGCTGACGGTCACAAACTCTGCCATGGTGAAGAGTCATCACCCTACGGTCAGCAACCCATACAGCTCCGAGACCCACCCGCTCTCATTCATTAACCCACTGATGGGAACTCCTCTGCCCAAAGAGCTGTCACCGTGGTTGCAACCTCAGCAGTTAAAATATTTACCATCTTGTGCTGCAAAACACAGCGAAGCAGGATTAAAGGCCAGGCTGTGGAGATGTGATGTCCTCTGCTCTGTACCTCGGGCACAGCTCCCCTCTCCGCAAAGTCCCTGCTTCTCTGGCAAGGATGGAAAACAAATGGTCCCATCCCCTCGGCAGCACCCAAGGGCACCCACATCAAGCCCCAGCAGCCATCATCCACCTCTGTAATGGGAGATGCTTTCTTTGGGCTTGCCGCTTGAGGTTAGGACATCTCCATGGTACACTTGCTTGTGCTCCAGCCTGGATGTTTCAACACTTCATTGCTTTTCTTTGAAAAAAAAGCAGCAAAAGGCAGGTGATCTTCCCACTGAGTCACATGGATGTGGGGATGGAGGCATCAAGAAACCCTCGGGTATCAGAAGACGTGCTCAGATCACAGGCTTCGACAGCATCAGCGGTTTGACAAGTTTCCACAGGGTCACAGAATCCCAGCATGGCAGGGGTTGGCAGGGCCCTCTGTGGGTCACCCAGTCCAACCCCTCTGCCCAAGCAGGGTCACCCAGA